GTAGTAGTAATAGTAGTAGTTGTTGTAGTAGCAGCACCAGTACTAGTACCAGTACCAGTCTACCCAGATGAAGCCGTCCCGGGGCACGAAAGAAACCCTCCGGACAAAAAGCCTTCTGGGGCCGGGGCACGAAAGAAACCCACCGGACAAAAAGCCTTTCGGGGCCGGTCAAGTATTTTTGCTGTTCTTGCGGGTTGATTTGTTCCTTCTGCACTAGGCCACTAGGCGCCCCCTGTCCGCTCCAACAGGGCGCGAAAAAAGCCCCCAACTGGAAAGTGAGCATGAGGAGCCTTTTCGGGGTGTGAAAAAGCCCGCCCACTCCTAAACCTTAGAGCCTAAAAGTCCAAAGCCGCAACTTCCTTCAAACGCTCAATCTCAGGACCTGGGCCCCAGTGATTGAAGCTGTCTGCAAGTATGGGGATGACGCGGCAGTCCAGGACGTGGCAGCGGAGAGAGAGAGTGGCTTTTCCTCACAACAGCCGCTGCAGCTTTAGCGACTTTAGCGTCTAGGTTAGGGTGTATGAACCTGGTACCTGGTAAAACCCCCGAACTCCGAAAGCCTGCAAGCCCAGCCCTAAACACTTCACTGCACGCCCCAAAGCCGAACAGGGTTTTCAAGCCCCGAAAGCGAGAACCCCAATTGGAGGTTCGGAATACTTTTCGGTTGAGTTATGGCTGTACTTGTAAGCCCATGAAAACCTAGGTAAGAACACTTACAGATAGACATTGGTTCTCTCAGCAACCTGCACCCGCCAAGCAAAACCCTAAACCCTAAATCCGAAGACCCTGAACCACATGCCTCGCTTAAAGTGTCCGAATGTGAACGCCGAAACCCGAAGACTCTGATCCCCTAAGCTCGAACAGGACGGTTTGCAAAGAATGCTCCGGGCCGGCGTGGCGCCGCAGGGTCGGGCCCAGCAGCAGCTGGAGGAGCCCTTGTCGGACCGAGCGGTGAGAGCGGAGAGCGCTGTAGTGTTTAACGAGGGAGCCGGCACTGAGGCTTGAAGTTTCGTTGACCAGGTCAGGGCTTCAGAGCTGATAATTTGTGTTGCTCTCGCAGTCTTCCGAACTCATCTACCGAGTCTTGGCTGGGATCATGGCTGCACACCAGCAAAGAAACGCGCCTTCGCAAAACAGGCTCCTTGATTGTTGTCGTACTCCGGGGACCACCCGCAGCAGCAACGATTTTTGGCATGCTTCGCTGGTATCGTCAAGACACAACAAGCCCTGATCCCTCAAGTCTTTCAGCCTTCAGCACTACACTCTACACCCACCGCCGCCACAAACCTTTGCAAGTCCTTGCAGCCAATACAGCGTGCCTGTGGGTAATCACAGCTATTTTATGGACTATGGAGGAACATGATTACTAGTTATTGAAAACCTTGTATTCAATCCTGTTAAACCCTAAACCCCAAACCCGAAACCCTCCTAATAAACCCTGAGTTTCGGGTTTGGGATTTAAACCCCAAATCTAGGACATTTTCAGGTGGGTAGTTACCGTTATAGGAGCCTTGTAGAAGGTCTATATACTTTATAGAAGCCTTATAGAGGCCCTAAAGACCCTTAACTCCCCACCTATAGTTTCCTTTAAGCAAAGCCGAAACTCTGGGCCCCAAAGGAGCGTGTGGGCCCTCTGAACCTTGCTTCGGCATGCGCGGAGTACGGCTGCTTCCCTGGAACCCAGAGAACCCAAGACCCCACAATTAAGGAATATACCTTAAATCATAATATTAAGGCCCCTATGATGTAAGGTATATTCTTTAATTAAAGGGTATTGGGTTCTCTGGGAAGCTTCCTTGAGGGTTTCTGGTTTGGCTTAATTTAGGTGCTCTAACGATTCGACAGAGTGTGATTAGGCTTGAGGGTTTCTAGGTTGGGGCTTATGTAATTTAGGGTCCTTGATCTTGAAGGAGATCTTTTTTCATTCAGGGCGTACTTGGGTCTGTTTTGTAGAGGAACCTCCCGTGAATTGTGCAGGGCCGCTTCTTTGCAATGACGAAGTGTTGGATGTTTCAATCTCCAGGTAAAATGGGGCTTAAAGCAGGTTTATAGACTCTAAACCGCAAAACCTGTCAGGGCACCGTAACCACGAGTTTTTGCCAAGGCCTGCGAAAACAAGGCCGCGCTGTCGACATCAGCGCGTTCGCTCGGCAGCCGCTGTTTCGGAGTTTGACTTTGGTCGTGTAAGTCTTATCGAATTTACACAGCTTCTCTAGGTTCTTCTAGAAAAACCTAGAAGAATTATCGCATTTACACAGCTTGTCGGTTTTATGGTGTTTACAGGGGTCACATGGTCTTCACCAGATGTTCACCATTTACGTAGTTCGTGGTTGAACGCAGGGGTTCTGTGAATGAGGGGTCCTAGTGAGGGTACAGAAAGTAAAGACCTTACTGGAGTCTATGACGAGGTCCCCTGTTTTTGGAAGCTCCTGCGTTGCAATGCTGCAGATTCTCATGACTGAACACACACTGTACCCCAATGCATGTCTGTCTGTAATGCAGAGAAGTAAAACGATTACCAGAGTGGCTTTGCAAAAACCCAGGCCCCGCAGCAACCAGAAGAGACATTTCCTTCTGGCCTGTCTATAGATGATTGCTGTGCTTGGAGGGCACTGGAATGCTTCTGGAGTTCCGATTGTTGCACCTCAGGAACCGCAATGCCGAAGCAACAGTGGGGGTCACCTGGCACGCACAGTAAGGTTGAGGGAAGGGCAGCAGCGTCAACCGACGTACCTCAAACTGCCTTGTCTCCCTGCCAAACATCAGCTCCCAACAAGATTGAGGGCGCTGAGGCATCCTGCCACTGCCGGTTGCATTCGCAAAGTCGAGATAGCGTCTGCAACCACCCGAAACCGAAAACCAAAAACCTTCTTCTTCCAGCTGAAATCAGATCCTTTAGCCGGAGTTCTTGCGTTCCTTGCCGGTCTAGGCGCGGCGTCTCCCTGGCTCTCGTTGCAGTCAGGAGGTGTCCCATGCTGTGGGCCCTCAAAAAATCCACCGAAACAACCCTGAAGCATTCCGACTGACATGCACCAAGCATGTGCAAGGACACCAAGCAGCTGCAACGACGGAAGGTGACTTGGCAACGTTGTTGGTAGATTTGCAGACACCACAACCCGGCTCCTAAAATCAAAGCTGGTGACATCGTGTGGCGGGGGGGGGGTGTGGCTGGTTCTCCAAACTTGCACCACACGCAAACACACACATACATGCATACATACAGACACACATGCATACATGTGTATATGTGTATGTGTTTATGTATATACACATAAAGAGAGCCACATCTTGTCCTTTTCTCATATGTAGATGTATATCTAATACCATATGTATCTTCAGTAGATGTCTATCAGCAAGTGTATGCGTATGCCAAACCTCTCTCTCTCGCTTAAATTTACATGTGCACGTATGCGTGTATGTGCAAACATACATATATATATATATATATATGTATACACACATACATGTGTGTATACCAAACAATATTCTAGATAGAAATGTAAATCTTGATGTAAGCATACATTCATAGATTAATTTGTACAGATTCCAGGCTTCCTAAATTCATCTACTCAGCTGTTCAAATGAACATGTATTCATGCACGCATGTGTATGTACATTCATGTGTTTATATTTATATATATATATATACATGGGTGTGTGCATATCTATCTTCCTTCCTTTCTATATGTGTGTGTGTACCTATGCATGTATACATCATATATATATATATATATGTAGTTTGTGTACCTACATGTGTAAAACGTATTCATATCTATTCCTGTATGGTCGTACATATTCATGCATGTCCATATATATATATATATACATATATGTGTCATGTATATATATATATATACATATGTACGTGTATATCGTGTGTATTTGTATATTTATATAGCCGTGTAGAATCATAAATATGTGTATATATAGATAGATAGATAGATAGATAGATAGATAAATATTTAGATAGACAGATAGACCGATAGACAGATAGATAGATACAGAGGTAGTATACATATATATATATATATACATAGGTATATATGCATACATGCATACATATGTGTACATCAGTATTGCTGTCGTTGCTGCACCAACTTGCTTGTGCTGCTGCTCCCAGACTCTAAGGAGCCAGTTGTTTTGCTTGAGACATTGCCTCGGACTTGTTTTGATTCAACGATGGCTCCAATTACTATTATTTCCAGCAAATAGCCGCACGTGTGACAACACTTGTAGTAGCACTCGTACTACTACTACTACAACTACTACTACTATTACCTCTACTACTACTACTACTCCTACTACTACTACTACTACTACTACTACTACTACTGCTACTCCTACTACTACTACTACTAGTACCACTACTACCACTACTTCTACTGCTACTACTACTACTACTACGACTACTACTACTACTACTACTACTACTACTACTGCTACTGCTACTACTACTACTACTACTACTTCTAGTACTACTTCTACTACTACTACTACTACTACTGCTACTACTACTACACCACCACTACGATTACTGCTGCTACTACTACTACTCCTACCACCACCACTGCTACCACTGCTACCACTACTAATTACCGCGACCGAGACCTTGACCACTCCCACTGTTCATGAGATCTTAGACATGCGGCATTGATGGCGGGGCTGGAGCGCAAGTTATGAGTCTATGGCCCCCGCAAGAGCATGCAAGTCTGACTGACTTGCGTCAGCCAACAACCACTTCAAACCCGCGAACCGAGCTGCTCCAGCAGTCACATCGGGACTCAATGGTTCATGCTAGCTCATATCACTGCCAACTGCCCAAAGAGACCCAGGCCGCCGTACCACGTATTTGAGGATTGTCTATATTCTGCATTTCAGAGAGAACTGGGCCATCTGACTGAGAACCACAACCTGTCCAGCCAAGGATGCCTCGAGCTTGTTTCGCAAGCGACGTGGGCGCATTGACCCAGGCTGGAGCAAAAAGTCCGCGAGAGCCCAGTAGTCCTTACTTAGGTAAGTAAGCATACACCTCAACTCGCACTCAGAAACCCTGTAAGAGTTACGGCATGTTTCGGCAGCCCTTGCTTTCAAGCTGATTCTGTACCAGCAATCGTGGCAGGCATCTCTTCCTGGGGTGCCCTTGTGTCCCTCATGCTCGCTAGGTCCCGAATCTAGGGCCACTGTTGATCAACTTCATGCTTTGTTCTGCATGACCCACAAAGATAAACCATATGTGCGTTCGGACTTATGCGTTGTTCTAGGAGATGCCGGAGGTTGCCATCGTTCAGGATTGGTGGAAGTGCGAACACTAAGACTGCGTGGATCATCAGCGCACGCCCGCAACGTGTGAACAGCGTGTGAACAGATCCTTTCAGTTTATATACTGTATATAGGAAGGACCGCACTATATACAATGCAATGTCGTAGGACCAAAATGTAGTAGAATGCACTGCAATGAAATGCCATGTAACATTGAGTAAGGTACGGCAAGGTAAGGTGATGTACAGTAATCTAAGGTAATGTAAGTCAATGTAGCGTCAGTACTTGTAGTGTAGCACTGTATAACAAAGCCGTGCGACGCAACGCAACGCTGATCCATGTAATGAGATGTAATGGCAATATCAAGGCTAGTGCACTGGTAAATGCATCCTTAATGAGCCATAATTGTACTCGCATTTCTTTATTATGCATCATTTGGGCACAGCTGGGGTCAGGCAATATCCACAGTTCCTGAACTTCAAAGGTACACAAGCAGAAAGTCAAAGTTCTGTCCGAGTGTGAGAGTCCAACATTGCGAGTCCAGACATGGCTCGCTGCGATGATGATGGTTATGATAATTTTGGTGATGATGAGGATGGTGATGTTGATGAACATGAAGATGATGATCATCATCATTTCGGGGCTGGCAGAGGTAACTCTGATGTTGGCGATGGTGATTGGCGTCGTGCTGGCAGCGATGACGATGATGATCATGATGGCGGATGTGAAGCAGCGGCTGTATCCGGGTCCTGCGAATCAGCAGTGCTTGTACGTTTCTCGTTGTGTTTGTAAATCACGAGTAATATGCGTCAGGAAACACATGGTTTGCATGGGGGGGGGGTGCCTTTACCTCAAGGGAGGCCAATCAGATACGGATAGGGAGCATCCACCATGTGTAGGCATGGATTTTCCTAGCGGAGGGGTGCTTCAGAAACACGCATTTTAATCAGAAAGCATTGGTGTTTGGTGTGTGGAAAAAGGCAACAAACTGTCTTCGATGAATACAGCAATCAAGTCCGTGATTACCATCGACTCAGTGATCCTTCATCCCTTGTTCATGGGCAAATTTCCAAGCAGGTGGCCTATCCCAGTACTCAGTTCAAGCCCAGCGCAGTTGTTGCAGGACACATAGTGAAGAGTAGCATTGGTACTCCACTCTCACCCATCCAAAGGTGATGGTATTTGACTAGCAGGTGGATGAGGTCAACATTGACATTGGCTTTTGTCAATATTTATCCCATTTTATCGCAATATTGCCAACGGCAGTGGCATATTGGCTTCATAGGTGTTGCACAATGTAGGGGTTACACAATGTAGGGGTTACAATGATAAACCATCAACCAACCATTATGAATCATCCCAAATAGGGGTGCATCGTATCACATGCACACATGCACCATACAAGCTCAACATTGAGAAGGGTACATCTAACCATAAACCTCTATTAGGGGTGGCGACAACTATTGCGCCACACACATTAATCGCTAATCACCCTCGTCAATCTCAGTGAAGGCAGGGATGGCAAATGATCCAAATGTATGGTTGTATGTATTTTCAAGTGTTAAACATTGGATATATCCCATAGGGTCCAGCTGTATGGTATATACTGCTTTTTAAATAATATGCAAACATTGGGATGATGGTAAACAATGGCCAGTGCAATTCACCAATTGGCTCATGTGTAAAAAACCACGTACAGCACTTGGCTTGCCAACAGTTATGATGAATCAATCAATCAGTGGCTAATAGTCTACATTCCTGACCATGTATCAATATTGGATTTCCATGGCCCAACTGTAGTACACCGACTTGAAACCGAATCTCTAACATCAACATGATATGCTAATCCCCATCTATGCTTGAACAATTTGACATGCCACTTTCATATGTGAATTGTGGTACTTCGATCTCACACTTGCCGCCGCCATGGCTCTGGTGCGGGCGACTTTCGAACGTCCAAAAACGTGAGGCACACCAGTACTATTTGCTTTTATGAGCGAGCAGTGGTAGTTAGCATCATTACTTTGCACATTGTCACATTGTTGGCTGATGCTTGTTGAATGGGGTTAGGAAATGATTATTGGTTTGTTTACTGACCTATAAACAAAGGTGCATCAATAATCTGGGTGGCCTTGTCATCGCAGTAATATAGGGGCATTAATAATTGCCTATGTTTTTTTTTTGGGGGGGAGGGGGGGCGTCCTTATTATAACTCTACTATAAAGGAGCCCGAAAACCCTATTCTAATTATTAAGGCCCCTACATTAGACCATTTTTGAAGTGGCTTCGCAGAGATGGTAAGGCGCGATTGCCCACATGGCTAAGGCATGATCATTCATGATGAAGTTCTGCAGCCGGCACAAACATCGCACCCCATGGAGCTAGGACAACAATCAGTCATCTAATACTTTACCAAAGATAGGTGGCAAACATCATAGAAGCCATCCCCAAACGGGCAGTTCATCGTGCTCTGCTACCAAGCTGACAAACGGACGACAGCAATTGCTGGTTAACTCATTCGCTGGCCATGGGATCTTGTTCAAGTCGGCCTAGTCACAAGGCAAATGGCTCCGAACACCAGCAGTATGCCCAAATGTGGGTGGTTCCGGTGCCGCATGTCCTTGAGATGACTGGCAGTCTGCAGCCGCACGAGACTTTGAAAGAGCGGAGTCTCTTGGAGATCTGGAATTCTACGATGTTCACCATTTTCGTTTCGCACCAGTGGCTGGGCTTCCAGCATCCTGATCCAAATGAGGAACGACTGAAAGTCCTACAGCTGGTTTTGAAGAGGTTGATCGCCAAGCAACTGAAAATTGAGTACGATATCGCGTCCTCATTCTATGGACGGAAGCTGACTGCAAGAGAGCTTCATGGAATTGAAGAGTGGTACATCTGGCTGGACTACTTCTGTGTCCCTCAGTGGGTCGAATACCAGGTTCCCGCACTTGCAGAAGAGCAGCTGTTGTATGTCAAAAGCATTCCCAGCTACGTTGACCTTTGTGATGTTTTTGTTGCTTGGTCAAGGGTCCTGACGAAATTAGGTTTACTGTGCCTGTGTGGCACCGATATCCGGCGCATTCCGGAGATTTCACAGTGGAAGCAGATCGCCTTTCCTGTAGTCACATCATTGAGACCGCTTTGACCGAGCATTTGGCCAAGCTGCGGCGAAGCAACCAGACAGCCTATCGATTGTATCTGTCCCTCTATGAAGACATCACTGGGCTCAAAGGGAAGCTTCGGGGCTTGGATGACTTTTTGTCAGAGTTCGATTTTACCACACCATTGCAGCGGTACCAAGGGCTCGGTCCAGCGGCCTGCGCCGCTCTTTCAGGAGATCAAGACTTGCTTCGCCGAGTTGTTCTCGCCAAGGCGTCCCTCCATTGCCATGCACCGAGCATGCCAGAAACTACCAATGCTGACGGCCAGACACCATTGCATTCAGCGGTGTGGTTCAAAAGCCACGATCTCCGTGTCTTGGAGACACTCTTGGAGCTCCGAGCCGATGTCAACAGCTCGACTAGCAACATGTGTCCACCTCTAGGCCTATGCAGCACCGTTGAGGCTGTGGATCTTCTGGTGCGCAACCGTGCGGGGGTGAACTTTCGGGGAAAGCTCCTCCACCAGTCTTGCCCCATCCATGTGGCAGCATCATGTAGAGCTCCACCTGAAGTTATGGCCAGATTGCTGGAGTTCAGAGCAGATGTCCGCGGTGGAAGGGGAGGTATGTCAAACATGTCACCTTTTCACTCTGTTGCGATGGGTGGTGATTCCAAAGCTGATTTGAGAAACGCTCAGCTCTTGGTGGAAAATCGCGCAGATGTCAACCAAGTCATGAAGCCTGAAGGACTGTTTAGGTGCGTGGAATTGGCTTGCAGGGCTTACAGCCGCTGTGGAAGTCAGCCTGGTCTGGCTTTAAGATTTTTTGCCCACCTTGGCACCACCCCCTTGGGATGGTGCTCGCTTCTGGACAATCATGGACTCCTGGTGTTTTTGCTCCAATCACGAGCAGACCCAGAGATTCGAGGCAACACCGGCTTGCGACCCATTGATCTGGCTAGATCGCAGACGACCCGAGCGATTTTGCAAGATCCCAGACATCCACGCCTACACAATTACCTCTTGGAATGTAACTCTGAGTTGGTCACAGAAGTATTTTGACAGTTCAACCGTTTCAAGCTTTCTTCAGGTTTCACCTGCCCTAATGGCAACAAACAGTCAAGTGAGAAAATGCTATGCTTCATCTGTCAAGAAGTCAAAACACTTACAGTAAAGCTTTTGCCTATCTTCGCCTGTCGACTTGGAGCGTGGATAGCTGCTGGTAAAACCACTGGCATCCAAACTCTTGGCTTCGATGAGCAGCAGTTACCAACATGAATGGCGCGAGGGAATGCCAAGACCAAAAGGGGTGGAAAGTGGGGGTTGTCACTACTTTTAACTTCGATGATTTTGGTATGATAGCCACACAATCGCATGAGAGCATGGTGTCGACTGTTCCTTTATCAGGCCGAATTGACATGATTGGCTGACCACAGCATCTGCTTTGGGTTTGCTGAAAAAGCTAAAGACGGTTGTTCAAAGAGGGGGAAACCGAGAGCCAGCACAGTTTATCCATGTACCCAGAGACTCCAAAACCCCTTAGTTAAGGAATATACTTTAAATTATCATAGGATCCCTGATATGATTTAAGGTATGTTCCTTAATTAAGGGTTTTGGAGTCTCTGGGTAAAGAGGCACGGACCCAGGCGAGGTGTTCTGGAAGACCCGAGGCCACGCAGCTGAAATCAATTCGACTGGGATCTGCCAAAGTTCCGACGAGCAAACCATGGACCCAAACTGACAAACCAAAGATCTATGTGCTATTAGGGTTTAGGGTTTAGGGTTGGACCAAAACTGACAAACCAAAGATCTATGTGGGTAGTTCTCTAAATTAGGGTCCTTTCTGAATCCCCAATATAGTACGGCGCCCTTATAAAACGGACCCCAAAAGGGACCCTAATTTAGAGAACTACCTATGTGCCTTTGTGATTGAGGGCCCATGAGTTGTGACAAGCATGTGTGTATCAGATTCCCAAACAACCCCAGACTTTGTACACACAAAAACCCCGTCTTTTATGTCATTCCCTCATTAGCATGACCGGATCAGTTTCAGACATCTCCAGAGGATCCCGGAGTGGATATGACTGTATGTGCAGTCCATAAACACGGAAAGATACCATACACTGCTTTGGTAGCGAAACTCATATTTGTATACTCCCAATATGTAGGTATGACATCTGGTTTACACACATATCAAAAAGATAGGCGTCCTCGCCCCGTACGTGCTACTGATTACATGAACGGCAAAGTGAGGATTCTTTGGACGTTCGTTCCATGGCAACCATGAGAATGGTTCATGACATGCTTGGCACCTCAGCCCAGCTACCTAAACCCTCAGCCCTTGTTATTTCTGGAACCCTCAAACCCAAACCCTTATTATCGGAACCCTCAACCCTAAACCTTAAACCCTAAACCCCAAACCCTCTAGCAGCCATGGTCGTTTGACTCATGGCATGGGCCAGTTGAAAACTCAGCAGTGCCAGCATTGGAAGGTCTTTACTACCAGTACAAGTACATGCAAAAAAACGCGGTTTTCCAACATGCCCATCAGTCTCTTTGTTTGTGATGTTTGGCCGATGGGAAGCGTTGGGACGCGCGGTTGGTTGTAACCTAGGGTTATTCTTGGTATTGTTTGATATAATCCCGGTGTAAGAAAACCCCTACAATGCCTTGCTTGTGTTTGTTGATCACCGGAACTTTGACCGCTGGCCTCCGTTCCGGCGCGTTTCGTAGCAATGTGGTTGACTTGGATTGCCATGAAGCATTGCAATGGCCCCTAAACCCTAAACCCTAAACCCTTGCCCGAGTGAGAGCCGAAACCCTAAAGCCCTAAACCGTGTTGGAGAATGCCTGGGCCGACCAAGGTCTGGAAACGTTCCTGGCATTGTCGGAGGCACAGATGACACCTCCAAAGTTGGCTTGAAATCACGGCACACTGTGGCTATTTCTATCCATAGGGGCACTAGAAAGAACTGGGCTTACTACTTCCTGACACAGTCAGTTTTGGCTAATGCCTGGGTGCCGCCGTTCATGGGAGCACCCATGTGCTTGCGACACGTTCTTGTGCAGTCCGCCTGTTGGTGCCCTCGATGCTGACCATCATCATCATCATGATGGCCATTATTATCAGCACCATCATTTTCTGTATCATCCTCAGTTTTATTATAATCAACATCATCGTACTGCAAATCTCATTATTGTCATGATTGTGCACAGGAAATATTCATGTCACGTGATGACCACGATTCAGATGCTGTCCACAATGATGCCTTAGATGTACTCCCATCAGCCCTCCCTATAAACCCTGCCAGAACACCCCCAAACTCGGCATTCTTGTGTATGGACATCCTCGCCTCTCGCAGCGCCGAGGTAGGCCATCCAAGAGCAGGGCCTCGAGAGCGCTAGTGAGTGGTTTGGGGGTGTCGAAGTGAACGGTTTCGAGTTTGGGGTTTAGAGACTATTTCGGTTTGACATCTGTTCATGAAGTTACCTGCCGATTCAGTGTGCTATAGATCTTGGATGCAATGAGTGTGCACTGGAGCTTGCCTGGCTGTGCATCGTGAAAGATATCTGCGTGTTCTAGTTGTCGCTTACATACATGAAGTCGCCCTCATGCTCATGTCAGGGTACATAAGCGTGCGACTCTACATACTTGTATGTAAGCTCATCTATGTCAGGCACTGAAATGTAATGTAATGTGTCGTGTTGCCACGTATAGTATTGCAATGCTGTGTGTACGAAAATTCGGACTCATGGCAAGTAACTTACACATTGGCTTCATTTCAAGACGCATAGTTCACATATTCCACAATTTTTCTGTGCTGCTTGCGCGAAGTGAGACTGGCTTCGTCCCTTCATAGGACTTGCTGCAGGAATGTAGTCAGCTATTCCGGGATACTCTAGAAGGGGTACTGCTTCGGGTTTGTAGCTGCGGGTTTTGGGGGGCTCTTCTGCTCTTGGGCTCAAGGTTCAACTATCTGAGGATGCACGGATGGCTGGCTGCAATGCAACATATTTTCCTGCTTGGCCCTAGGAAGCGACGCCACTGCAGCTTGCCTTCGGCTGACATGCAACGTATGAAATGTCTACCTTGGGGCTGCGCCGGGCTACAAGTGTTTGTCGCTTTGCAAAATTTAGCTGTGAGATCCCTGCCCATAGCTGTTGCTAAGCCACTATCCTCGGCAGTGACAGCTTACCTGCCTGTTGAGAAGTTGCAACTTTGCTGGAGATAAGGGTCCTTAGTCGCAGAAAAGACATGCGTTCCTCTGCAGCGACCGGAGCTATCTTCTGCACCCTTCTGAGCTTCTTGTAGTATAGGCGTCGGAATGTGCCCCAGAGCCCTATTCTACTTATTGCGGCCCCTATACTAGGGTATACATACATACATACATACATGCATACATACATACATACATACATATATATATATATATGGTTTAGGCTGTCGGCCATAGATGCCACAGCGACTGCAGGGTCTGGGGGCTATGTGGCTGACGTGCAGGATTCATAATATTTGTATTTGGGTAGCGTCTCGGTATGGTGATGGTTGGAGTGTTGTTCGAGTCTTGGCAAGAGTGCTTTCAGTGCCACCCGGACATCTGGATTCCGAACTGATCCCGGTCTGTTTCGAAAGATTTTGGAATTCAAAAACCCTCAAAGGACTCGTAGTTTAAGGCTTTTGGGCCCAAAGACCCTATTGTATAAGGCTTTTGGGCTATTTCGATGCTAAAGGTTAGATTTGCAGGCTCAGACCCTTCGGAGCCTGACCCCAAACCTTCAGCAGCAAACCTCCTAAGATGCTCGGCTTCCCGGTTTAGGGTTTAGGGTTTTACTTGGAGGATCATGGGACTTAGTAAGTAAGCTTATAAGTCCCTTCATTGGGGTTATAAGTATAGTTAGGCCTTATTTTAACCCTACTTACTACGTCCCATGATCCTCCAAGTAGGCTAACTTCCTAAACCCTGAACCCTAAACCCTAAACCCTAGATCCCTAAACCCAATATAGCTACTCTAGGTTGCCCCCGTAGGGTTTCAGGCTAATTTCCTAAACCCTGGACCCTAAAACCCCAGAGACCCTCCGCGGGACCTTTTCCCTCCAACCCCTAAATCCGATGGATCCTAGAACCCAAAGCCCGATGAACCCAAAGCCCTCCACATAGCATATACACATACAACCATATTGTATAATGTACGTATAAATAAATGTTATATATATATACATATTGTATACATATATATATATATACATGTATATGTAAAAGTATTAAAGGCCCTTATACTTTCAGGTATATTTCAAATTTCGGGGCCCCAATATTCAACCCCTTATAGTTGGACGGCATGTCCCTTGATTAACGGGTGGTGGGCTCGCCGGGTCTGCCATGGCCGACGAGCTCCCAACGCAGCTTGCGACGGTCCGGCTCGGGTCAGCTCGAGGCAGGCTTCTTGGGAAGGCGACTTGTTGTTTAGGGTTTAGGGACTGTTCTTCTTTGCTTTTTTGTCAGGGGTGTTTGGTTGAGTGGGTCGAGGGCTTCGGGAGGTTAAGATCTGGGCATTTAGGGTTCAGGGATTTTGAGATGCTAGAACTTTGACATTGTCAGTAGTGGCTGAAGCACCTGTTATTATCATGTGACCTCGTGCTTGTGATGTCATGCATACACATGTGCAGGTGCAGCTGCGGCATGCCATGACGTGGAGCGCGTTGCTCAGCAGGGAAGGCGTGCATCCCCTTATGCTGTTCGGATGCTCATCCAAAGCGAAGTTATGACAGTATCGAAAGAACCAAGTCATCAGTCGGGATTGCAGCCGCTTGAATAATATGTGGCACTGGATTGATCCTGACGAGTTTCTGGGAGTTTTCCGGAGGCAGCGAGAGAAAGACACAGGAGGAGGGATGAAGAAGCTAGGATAGCAGAAGCAGAAACCAGCGAGCCATCAGAAGAGGGGAAGAACCAATCAAACAGGCACGGGCTGCTGATTGAGATACTAGCCGTCTGCTTCATGAGGGGCCTCAAGACCTGAGCCCCATGCGTTGCCTCTAGCTGCTAAATCCTCTGGATGCAACGGCAAAGAGAGAGAGAGAGAGAAAAAAAAAGAAGCTTCTTCACATGAAGCCGATCGGCAACATCACAACAGCTGTAGAAGAGGACACAGATCAAGAGCCAGGAAGGTCAATTCGACAGATAGAGTATGTTCCCAGCCCTGCCCCTGAAAACTCTGTACCAAAACTCCAAACGTCTCGAGCCCTGACACTTAAACTACAAACCTGCCATCCAAGCCGGAAGAGTTCTCGACAACCCAAAGCTTTCCATCCAATACATCTTACACCTCAACCCCACCACTATAAAACCCAACCCTGCACCCCAAGCCTAAACGCTCGTAAGCCTCAGAGCTGAAAACTCCCTGCACCTCAAGCCGAAAGGCCCGCAAGCTTCTCCATCCAGACAACTCATACGGAAAATAGACCATCCTTATTGGAAGTAGAAGCGTATGAAACCCCACAGAAGAGCTCGAGATACGTGGCTCTGGGCTTCCGAGTTGACATGCGCAGTCCTGTCTAGATCCCGCAGCAGGTCTGAAACGGTGTAGGGCTGAGGGATTTAATACGTAGCTTATAGCTGCACGCATGAGCAGTCCTGTCTACGTAAGCCGATGGAGTTTCTTGGTTTCTGGGAATCAAGCTGTGCCTAAGCCCTCAAGCCAGTCACCCAAACCTAAAGCCTTGATCCGGACAAGTCGTCGTAAAGCCGGCAGCATGGAAGTCGTGTAATGTAACACCCTTGAAGCCTATCAAGGGCTTCGATCGACGGCACTTGAGGATCTTGGATGGGAGTCGTCATCGCGATTCTTTTTCGCTAAAGCCTTGAACCAAGTCCGGGCAAAAGGAAAGCCTTCAGGGAGACCCCTAAGTAGTAGGAACCGAATGATGGGGACCCTTGATTTTGAGTACGCAAAGGCCCAAACCGTTGGTACCAAGCCCGAAAACTTAAAAAACACCGAAGCCTGAAACTATAAGGTCATATACCTTATGGAAGCCTTATAGAAGCCCTATGTACCCTAAACTCCGCACCTGTAGTTTCCTTTAACCTAGGTCTGCTTTGCAGCAGTGTTTGGATCGCAGAGACTTCGTAGACCGGCTCGGAACTGGCATGGAGCATGCAGCCTAAACACTTGGACTCGGCTTGATAAGGAAGCATGGTCTGCTACATAGGCTTGTAACGGATGCTGGCTCTGAGGCCCAACCTTTAATGTGTTAGGCTACCCTGAAACGTTATATCAGCTTGCATGTAATCGGGAATTTGGCTGGGGCTGCAAAGCCTAGATGACCACACCTGCAGCTGTACAGCTACACAGATACGTAACGTAATGATAAAACCTGTTGATACATGTTGTTCTGTGGTTGGCGGACACTGGTAGCTCTTGGCTATGGCATTATGCAGAATCTTCGGTCTCATCCGAACGAGCTTAGTTGGCATAGTTTCGGGAATCCTCCTGACTGTGCGTAGCTTTCCCCTTCTTTTTTTGTCCAGACGGCTACATGAGCGCACACGCCTGGCAGGAGAGTGTTTTTTCTATTCGACTCCTACACCGGCAGAGCCCTAAACCACGAGAGCCCAAGCCGTACTCTCAAAACCCCAGATCCTATGACAGGCCCTATGACCTCAATCCTCAACACGACAGCCTAAACTCAGAGGTGAAGTTTAGTCGGATGCAGGGACGACGAATCTCATGGCCGTTTCTCCTCGCCGGGAGGGGAAAAAGCGGCGCCAGCCTTGGACACTCCACTGGGCCTGGGCCGTCGCCGCTCCGAGTCTTCTGCTGCTGCCTCTTGAACTTTGATGCTTAATGTAGAGGCCTAAATAATTACCTATACTATTTTGGGGGTTCCTTGTTATAGTTATAGGGTTTAGGGTTTAGGGTTTAGGGTTTAGGGTTCAGGTGGTTGCCTAGAGAGCCCAAGACCCATCAAGCAAGGAACATGCGTTTGGAGCAGAAAGTTAAGCCTCGTACAGTTTAATGTAGATTCCGTAATATCGAGATCTGCAACTACCGGATCTAGTTTTAGACAGGTTTCTACGCGGATTATGTGGGATTTCTCAGCGTTCTACAAGGGTTAGAGACTCGGTAGCCCAGTTAGGGTTCTTTCTCGGTTTGTAGACACTGCAGAGGACTGTTTTTGGGTGCTTGGATGTCGGGCTCGTAAACTCTCATCCTCAAGCCATTCAGCACAAAAACTCAAGCTCCAAAACCCTTCAAGAGAACCTGAAACCCTAAAAGAAATCCTAAAGCTCCAAACAATCCCGCCACCATTTCGCAACACTCAGTTCCCCGAACAGAGCCAAAACAACGAACCCTCCCAGGACCGCTCAGGCAGCTTTAGCCCAGCCCCAAACGGAGGCCCGTGATTGGGTTAGGCGGTGGGGGTTCAGGGTTCAGTGTTTCGATGTTGTTGTTTCTTCTTGAGGGTATGGGTTTTGGCAGTTAGGATGTAGGGTAAGCCGCCATCTACAAGGCATTGCCTTGGCGGCGTCAAATTTGTCGAGCCATGCCCCAGATTTACTATATTAGGGTCCCCTATTTTCGGAAACCCCCATTTCATTCAGTCCTCCTTAGCTGCTGACCGCCCTGGCCCCTCAAGAGTTAACGTTTGAGCCAGGCAGGCTTGCGCATCCTACGGCCAGAAACGGTTCCTAGAGGCAAAGACGAGCTCAACCATGAAACCAGAACCCTCACTCATCACCCAACCCAACGCCCCAACAGAAGTACAGATTGAATCCTCAAGCACCCGAATAGAAGTGCTTGAAGTCTTTCATACCATCCCCATGACCTGGGGTGTGGCAGCAGCAGTAGTAGTTGTGGTCGCCGTCGTCGTAGCTTTTTTCTTGTACGAGTAGTTACGTTCCAGTGTCAGTGCTAATGCTAGAAGCAGCTGCGGCAGCAGCAATAATCGCAAAGTAGTCGTCGTAGTAGCAGCAATGTTGTGGCTGCCCTTGCTCGGGTGCTTAGTGTGGCGTGTGCTGCTATTCGGGGTGTTCTTTGTAGCTGTCTTGGTGCCAGGATGTGCAGGCTGTGGGCCACAGGTCGTCGAGCTGGGAGAAGAGGCCCACACACGGAGGATATTGGAAACTTCTTGTTGGAGTTCCGGGGTTTCCCGTGTTTTTGAAATCAGCACCACTAACCCGAAACCATCAAATGCAGGTTCTTGGGTTTCAGAACTTGAAGACCTCGGGCATAAACGCACTCTCGGAGCTTCGATGCTGAGTCAACCAATGTTTAGTGAGAGAAAACGATCAGAGTAACGTAACAAGACGGTTGTAATCTAGGCTAGAAACACCATGATTGCAATATAAGTTTTCCTGTGTATGCCAAGCACAGGTTTTGGGGAAATTGTTCGCCTTTTTCGGACGGCCATTTCCACTAATTGCTAAAGTACGAAAGGCAACATGGCTGCTCTTCAAACAACTGCTGGCAAATCAGTCAATCGACCTGAAATAGAAGGCTCAGATATTCAGGAAGGGGTCCCCTAACCTCCCTTTCAACAAGGAACCCCGGACTTCACAGAGCTTCATGCAGGATTGAGCATCTTCGTCGCACGTGGGGAAGAGGGTGCTACCCTAAACCCTAAACCCTAAACCCTAAACCCTAAACCCTAAACCCTGCTCTGCAGGCTTTCTCGGCTTTTCGGGGCTCGGGGTTGGCAGCCTCGAGGCCGGCAAGGCAGCAGATGACAGGGAGGTTCAGGCCCCCGTCAACATGGGACTTTCCGAAAATAAGGGGTACCTTATTTTTGGGGTTCTTATAATAACGATCCTACAGTTTAGGGTACTACATTAGGGTCCCCTATTTTCTGAAACCCCCACATCAAGAAGCTTACTTGGAGGATCATGGGACTCAGTAAGTACGGTTCTAAGTCCCTTAATTGGGGTTATAAGTATAGCTACCCTAATTATAACCCTACTTACTAAGTCCCATGATCCTCCAAGTAGGACTCTCTTGGCCAGGGAACCTGAAATCTTACAACCTGGAAGCCTTAACACCCGAAAGCCTTAGCACCCCAAAGCGCTAAATGGGGGTTTCAGAAAATAGGGGACCCTAATGTAGTACCCTAAATAGTAGGATCGTTATTATAAGAACCCCAAAATAAGGTACCCCTTATTTTCGGAAAGTCCCAAATCTCAGCCATTCGAGAGAGGGAACAGCTTCGAAGCACCGGAGCCCTAGGCCCCAAGCTGTGGTTTACATGATGCAGCTCCCGACCTCCTGATCAATGGGAGTTTCCGAAAATAAGGGGTACCTTAATTAGGGGTCCTTATAATAAGGATCCTATGATTTAGGGTACCATATTAGGGTCCCCTGTTTTCGGAAACCCCCAAATGTGGGTAGTTTTCTAGATTAGGGCCCCTTTTTTTCGCGCTCCCCAATAGAATATGGCACCCTTATAAAAAGGACCCCAAACGGGATCCTAATTTAGAGAACTACCCCTGTGTGTTTCCTTTGTCAGTACGACGTAGGACTAAGCCTCTTCGCTTTGAGATCCCCGTGCTTTCGATGCTTGAGAGGCCGTTGGTGTCGGCTGAGATGCTCTGGGATACGGCAGACCTTATGCAGTCGTTGTGCCTTGGCTGTTGCTTTCTCATGCTGATGCCTCAGCTCTGATTTTGCGAGGAATGCACGGGCTCGAAAAATTGGTAGTAGTTCCTTAGGGCATCCGAAATACACCTAACACCAAAACCCCATTTTGATTATGAAGGCACCTATATTATTTAGGTGGCGCAAAGGTTGCTAATGCACCCATCCCTAAACAGCAAGTTTCCAACACAGCCCAGCCTCTTTTCTTCTTGTCGCCAGGCTAATTGCTCACTAGGCCGCCCACCCCCCCCCCCCCAAAAAAAAGCATACATAGAATCCCAAACTGGTGTAAGTCCAGAAAACAGAAGCCTGAAAAGCAAGTAGGTCTATGTCCTGGTAATACCTAATGTAGCTGCTACACTCGAATTGTACCACGAAACCTTGTTCCAAGCACTCAGGCCCCTGCTTTAGCTACAAAGTGTTTCATGGGAAACCACTTGAGGGATCCACCTTGCAGAAAGAATCTCTCAGCAAGGTTCGGGTAGTGTATCTTCATCTTTCTTGACCGTCGCATGGCCTCCGTCCTGTCGCGACAGCAGAGACATCAACTGCTGCTGTAATTGCAATGGTTTGCCCTAGGTTCCTGAACCCTGGCAAGCTTTTCTCTTTCAGCCCTAGCCCTAACCCCGTCAAACGATCAACTCTCCTAAACGGATTGTCCGAGATGTGAGAGTGTAAACTCTCCGCGGTGCTAGACTGCTGCTTCTGAGGATGGGTAGGGGCTAAGACGTTCTGAGCATGGAGGGGAAGAGAGTGGCTTCGCGAGGTATTCCATCTTCCTCTCTGACATCGTGTTCTTGCTCTGGGCCATCGCGTGGAGGTAAACCCGAAGTTCCAAGAATCGGTTGGGAATTCCGTTTCCCTGAGTCGGGTTCCGCTAAACGCCTGCGTGAAGGAGTAGGGCCCGGAGTTCCTTGTTTCTAGTTCAGGGCTTCGGATCTCTATCTCGGGTGTTTAGGGTGTCTGTAGTGCTAAGTGTTTGCGCTTGCGGGATGTATGACTTGAGCTCTCTGGCCAAATCGCGGAGTCGCTCCATGCGGTTGGAACCAGTTACCTCCCCAACTACGAGCCCCCTGGCAACAGACTTGCAATGCATCGCCCGCTCAAAGACTAGCCGCCAAGTGACAACAAACTCCAAATTTGCGCTAAACCCTAACCCTAAAGCCTGAACCCTAAACCCTCAGCCGCGTCTTTCGTCCCTTTTGGAGCCTTGGGGCATGGCCTGATATATGGTGTCGGAACGAAGACCCCATATTACTCCTTAAGGGTTCCTTATGGTAAATATTCCTGATATGCCCCGCAACCCTCTTCTACTGATGAAGGCAATGATTAAGGCCCCGGTACGTTCAAGTTGGGTCTTGGGGCTTCGGGATTACTCCTATGACGTCCCACCCTTTTGAAGATTCCGACGGTTTTTCATGGACGCTAAACCCTGTGCCCAGATGATTCATGCAAAAGATAAAGTTCACGCACAAACTCCGGCCAGCCCTAAACCCTGAACCCTAGTTCAAGACACAGATTTATGGGGGTGTCCGAAAATAGGGGACCCCAATATAGTACCCTAAATAGTAGGATCCTTAGTATAAGGACCCCAGAATAAGGTACCCCTAGTTTCGGAAACCCCCTTATTTCGAGAGGTTGGCGTACCCGGCGGTGGCGATCCTACGAAGGTTCGTCGCCTTGTTCTGCTTTCTCCTCGGGACCAGCGAGGTACCGCGGGGAGGGTTGAAGGTGGGGTCTTGTATGTTTTTATGGTTTGGGATTCAGGATTCAGCGGTGTGTAGAAAGCTTGTTCCGGAGTTTGTGTCGTCCTCTTCTTCTGGACATGCAACTGGCTCGTTGAACCTGGAATTCAAGAGCTGCGGCGGCAAGAGTAAGAGTCGGTGCCAGAGGAAGGTTACGAAAATGAACAGTTATGACAACCGTGACGTTTATGTTGACGCACACGACTACGACTACTAGTTAGTGCTACTACTGCTGCTACTACCATTACTACTACTACTCCTGCTACTACTACTACCACCACCACCACCACCACGACGACGACTACGACTGCGACTACTACTACTACTACGTGTACGACTACTTTTACTACTACTACTACTACTACTACGACGACGACGACGACGACGACGACGACGACGACGACGATTACGACGATTACGACGACGACGACGACGACNNTACTGCTACTGCTACGGCTACTGCTTCCACTACTACTGTGGATGGAGGAGTCTTGCACCATTTTAAGTTGAGTAGACCAACAAAGAGAGTACCCCACGCCCCTTGTTTAACATTGATGTCCGGTCCTGGGAGGGGTCGTGGGTTCCAATGAGAAATTTTGCACCAGCCATAGCATATTATCGCCGAAAATTCGGCAGGGGGTGTGGGGTTATGGTGGTGAGCGGTGTTATGAGTCAGCATCTGCGCGGTGCAAGATTTGCTCCATCCACCCTGCTGCTGCTACACTACTACCACT